ACAGGTTTATGGATCTGGCCCAATACGTCGACTAACAGCTGAAAATGGTACCTGCTTTTACTAACACTGACTGGTAGCTATTCTGCAGAAAAAGTCCTTGGCAGAATAACATCATCTTATTGTGGAGTGATTCTATTGTTATTCATTTAAGTAAATGGAATGACACAAAACTAGCAGCCATGAAAAGCCACAGATGTCTCTCAGCTGAAATCTCCACACAAACATCACTCGAAGCTAGAGGCCACAGCGCTAGATGGGACAGATGTCCCCAAGGAAGCTCCTCCCAAGGTCCACCAGAATGGTCCCCCATGGATCCCCACAGCGGGGACAGCAGTCTGAGCTCTCTCTCAAAAACTAAGGGAACAATTTTGTTCTACTGAAACCCACACAGAGAGCTACACTAAAGGAAATAATTAAAAGAAAAGAAAGTGTCTGACATCTTAAGAGTATATACCAGGAGGACTGTTACATATCTTTCCCACAGATGCCTGAAAATGAAGATTATATGAGCAGTAACCTATTCCTTTGTAACAACTTGCTCGGATCACTTCCCTTACCAAAGCAGTCTGTAGTGACCCAGATTTGCTCCCACCACTTAATATACCTTGTACTTCGTAAGGGTTATAGCGACTCTGATATTTTTAATTAAAAAAGTCATTGATATGAACCATAACAGCTGCTTTATTTTTAATAACATTTTCTGTGACGGTGATGTGGAAAGAAGGGGATGGACAGAACAATTAACCAGCCTACTTTTAAACTAGTATTCTGTTATTGTTCTAAGGTGACAGTCAAGTATCAAGAAGTGCTTTACTAAGCAGCAAATTACAGAAAACAAATTACAGACAAAACTGAAATAACTTTCTACAACAGGAGTTTCAGAATTCACACATTTCTTTTCCCAGTGCCCTAAAAGGCAAAACCACATTACTGCTCAAATCATAACCAGGTATGAAAAATACAGTAAGGTTGCATTAATTCAATATTCTGCTTTTTTCTTTGACTGGCAAAATACTGTAACAGGAAAATAAGTATATTGCAAATAGTAGATACTGCAGTTAAAAGACTTGCTAGTTTGGGTCCATGGAGCCACCTGGGACTGTTGGGAGTTCCCATGGTAACCTCAGCACGGACAATTATGGAGCAGCTACAATTATTCTGAATATGCCTGTTGAGAACGGAGTTTCATTTTGAGACGGCCACAAATTATGCCAATCTGGAGAGAAAATTCACAACCAAAGGTTAATACCAAATGAAAAACAGTGACAGATTTTATCCTGCCTCCACTTCCTACAGGAGTATATTTTTATCTTTAAATATTAATAATGATGTATCATCTATAAATCACTGAAGGCAGATTGGATCACACTGCTAAATGAACAGATAACTGATTCGTAAGTTTTAGTGATAGGTCAGATCCAGAAAACAGACAGATTGATTAAAACTTGTATAGAAAATACTGCACTGCACCTATGCATAATATACCTGCATATAGATAATACATAGTATATAAAAAGAAAACTCCTTGCAATAAAATCTATAAATACTTAGTGAGGTCACTGCGTGACTCCATTAACGAAACCACCCTCCTCCTCAACTCTTCTCTCTCTTCCAAATTTGGTCTCATTTGTTGGACAGGATCTGTAACTACTGGGCACAGGTCAGGTGTTAACTGTTCAACTGGTTTAGATCTGGCAGAATGGGCCACAAGGAGACTTTTTCTCATGACAAACAGTTTTTATTATTCAACTACAAATGTAATTTGAATGTTTGAATCTATTATTTTTTTACTTATTTATAATCTCGCATAGCTATTTTATGGTAGATTTACATTGAATAAACGACTTAAAGAATCTGTGCCGGAAGGTCCAGTAAGTAAAGCAGCATACCAGTGGTATTTGCATGACTAATAACCACATTTAAATAAGAAGTTTGGGTTGTTAAAGTGGAGGTAGAAGGATGTGATAGGATTGTGTAAGCAGTCTGAAATCAATGAGAGCTTGAGGCCAAATCTTAAAGATGTCTGTCGAGCTGTAGACGCAGGCAGATATTTTAAAAATTCTCCTTGATTTAAACGGGAGGTAGCTCCTAAGGGCTCTTGGAGATTCTACTAAGGACATTTCTAAACTTTAGTCAAAAGGGCAAAGTCAGTTTTAAGAATGTCTTAGACTTTTTTTTTTTTAAGACCAGAAACTGGTTTTGGAAATTTCATATCTACAGGTTCTCCGATCTTTTATAACCTGAAAGTATTCGTATTCTTTCTTAATATTAAGCAATGAAATTCTCATCCTCAAGTTTCTCTATTCTTGCATAGATTTTGTTCGTATATAGGTCTTTACTCTGAAGACCACCATTACTCATTTTAAGTATTTGACATTAGTAATGCAATACTTTTGTAGAAATTGTTGTAATTTTGTACTCAAAACTAAAGCAGCGTAGCTTGGATATCAATCCCACTGTCATATACCAAAAAGTAGACCAAGCACCACAAACGTAGACTTGATTAGCAAGCACTCTGAAGTTACTCTTTTCTATAAACTGATAAACGAGAAGATAGCCTGGTACGACCTCTCGGTCTATCTATATTCTTCCTGACAAATACACCCCCTAGAAAAATGGCAGACAAGATCTGCAACCTTCTTCCTGTAAGGTTTCAAAGTTGATTTCAGAACAGTGGAAATATTTATTTAGATGATGTCATTAAATCACAAATAGCAGCATATTTCTCAGTGCTATCTACTTGTTCCTTAGTAGAGGGTACCTAAAATAAAATGCCTATGGAAGCCAAGATATAAATCATAAGAAAAATAATGTAAAAGATGATCAGAGTCAGCACCACTTATATGCCATACCAGAATAGCTAATAAGTTAAATACCACCATTCAGACATCTGTGCTGTTAATTCTTATAACCCATCACAGTAATTCCCCTTGAAACCAAGTACCAATATTAAGAGCTGCTTTCCCTCTGTTCCTTCTCACAGTGGTAAACTCTGAGAAAGAGTAAGAAATCCTTCCACTATGTAATACTGCCTTATACTAGCCTTGGTCTAGCTACAATTACACATTTTGTTGGGCTACCAATATTCGTGTGTATGATCACTAAGTTTTAAAACTGTTCATTATGCAGCTCCATAAACGACGTTCCTGGAGACACTGTGTTCACTGAAAACCTATTCCCTTCCCTTGATTAATTCAGACCACTAAAATAGCACCGACCAGGCTACCTCCAGAACAGGGAAAGCCTCAAATACATAGTGCTGAAGCTGAACTAATTAGACTGTAAGACAGACTAATTATTTCTGAGGCAGAGCTGACCCTATTTGAAGCTGCTGTTTCTGGGCCCCAGTCCAGTGGCTCTACACGATGCAGCCTCTCAGGATTTCTACTCCACTTCATTGCAGGACACAGATAAACCCCGACTGTTCATTCTGCAACCAATATACTTACAGTGGGCTCAAGAAAAAACCCATGAAGATTGTAAATTCAATATGCAAACATACTGCATATAATAACTGACATTTTAAATAGACAATCTTAGTGACTTGTCTTCGTGCTGCCTCTGTTCTGAGAAAAACCAAGCAGATTTCTGTACCTGTATCACCAACATACACACATCCACCCAATTCCAGACTCTGTATATTGCACAGAGGCATGTAAGGGGTGAAAAGATTTTCTTTTGAAGCTATTCTTTCTAGGGAGGATAAGAAGTAAATATGATCTTGGATAGAAAATGACCTAGTGCAGCAAAATAAAATCACACTGGTCAGATCACAATTGTAAAGAAAGGAAAATGGAATGGAGATTCAAATACTTCTCAAATGTATAACAAAAATCATAGTTCATGCTGCAGACAAAAGTATGGTAGCTGATCCAAATGTGTTCAGAAGAAATTGATGCACCTTTTATTTTTCTTTCTTGAAAGTTGAACATGTGCCGTTTTTCCTCACTTTCTTGGGTTAACCCATCTTTTATAATAACAATGTAGAATTCTGCCTAATGGTGAACATAAAAAATTGCCATTTCAGGTTGAAAGGAACAGGCATAAGTGTTTGTTTATGCACAATAGGTACATTAAGTAATTTTTGGATAAACAGCTAGATTAAAGTTGTAAATGTTCAACCAGAAAAAAGAAAACAATACTGTGGATTGGACTATTTCAAATTCAGCTGGAAAGAGCAGTCAAGTCAGATGAGCCGAATCCAGCACAGCCATTAGCAAAACACCTCCCTCCCAAAGCATACCCTTCCTGTTGCTGGGTTTAACGGCCAGCAAGTATTTTGCTGTAATATCAGCTGTAGTTGTCAAAGAGGCAGTGTTGCTGCCTAAGTCTGTTCATTAAGAAACAACTCCCTTGCACGGCACAGTGAGACCATGCTTGTGACTACCAACGACTCCAGTCTGCACCACAGAAGGCGGGAAGAATGTGTAAAGTACTGCTTTTCTGCAGAGTTTCTTTTCTGCACATAACCAGCAATACCTCTTATCCTTAAAAACTTCCATACTCACATTATAGATATCAGAAATTCAGATTACAACCTTCTAAAAAGATTTTGAGGCTCCAAGTAATCAGTAATTAATATTGTAAATATTTTCTTTTAAAAATAAAACACAGTTACTGTGAAACATTCTAAGCGTTAAAATACTGTTGTTTCTGAGAATTTCCTTTGTCGAATAATGTAGATACTAGCGATTACAGCTGGCAGATTTTGCAGCAAGTATTAAAAGACATTGAAATGATCACATATACTTGACAGAAAATATTTTAAAATACCAACTTACAAGTGTCATAGCACAGAGCCTGAACTGTCAGAAAAATGATACCACTACTGAATGAAACCATTCGGTCCAATCTTCAAGAAACCCAAAGGCATATACTGCTGTCACAGGCAACAGAAATCGTAGCACTCTCATATACATCTTTTAATGGGCTCTTTTTTTTTTAATAAAGTGAAAAATGTATGCAATACATAGTTGCGCCCACTTGTGTTTAACCCTCACCTCAAACTTCTGCCGGAGCTCTGCATTTCCATCTTCATCAGCATCTGGAATTGGAACATTATAATATTCACCTTCTTCTTGATTCAGCAGCTTGTACCTGTGGAACATTTGAGGGGGAAAAAAAAAAAAAAAAGAGTTTTATTCCTGTTAGATTTAAAATCTGATTTAGTTGTTTGTGTGTGGTTTGTATCAATGTCACAGGTATGTAAAGACCTGCTTTCAAAGATCTAAACCCAGAAACAGAATACATTTACCCTAAAATTAGACCTTTAATCCCAAACTATCTGCCAAAGCAGTTTAATAGACAAGGAAGTTCTTCCCACCTATCCTGTGATATGATGGGAGACATCAACCCTGAAGAACCTTTGTCTCCAGTGTTTCTATAGCCCTAAACAATTGCCTTCGATGAAGTGTACTTTTGAGAAGATGTGATGAGTTCAGCCTCTAGTTTGGTAGGTAATAAGATGGCATTTCATAAAATCAGTTCCCATGTACTTTGAATCTGCAGAGCTATATATAACATGATACACTTAGTAATGAATATAACATATTTGAGATAAAAATAAAATTCGTATCACAAGACTATGTACACAGAATTGAGTTTGCAGCAGCTCCTGGCTCCAGCAGAATTTTCATGAACACCACAAAAGAAAAGCATTCATTTTATTATCCTCCTTTGTTATATAGAGCCTATGTTTCCTAGGTTTAGTTGCATTTTCAGTGAATTCATAGCCAGAGATGCAGTGAAAACCTCCAAAAAAGGTAGATTATTTTGAAGAGAAATACTGGTGTCAAACTTTTTGCGATATATTCTCTCCTCCTCTCTTTTCAGAAACTCTTACCATCCACTGGCTGGCATTTTCATAAGCTCTGACACCCCAAATGAAAGAGATCCCATGAAATCATTTCTTGTTGTTCGATCCCAGTCCCAGACTTCTACGGATAACCGTCGATCTTTGTCTGTAGGTTTTAATTTACTGAAAAGGAGAGAAATAGAAGGGTTTGCAATGCAATGCTGAACTAAATGACTCAATACATACAAAGATACTACATGAAAAGGTGTTAAACTTACAATGTGAATGACTCATTCCAGTCTGGATTCAGAGTAGAACGGATGGTTTTTGTTTTTTGTTTACTTTCATTCTTTGGATCTGGGATGAGCTTCAGTTTAACATAAGGATCTGAAAGTCCATTTGGATCCATGGGAATTAGGTTTTTTGCTTCTCGCACTGTCAATATAAAACACAACTAATTTGTATAGGATTACAAATCACCATTAAGAAAGCAGTAACATGTCAAACCAGAGTTTTTGAAACACGCTGAAAAATGAAGCAAATAAGGTGTGAAACCCACTTGTCAGACCTGGCACGGAAGAAACTACTCGCTGTAAACTGAGGTTGCACTTAGCAATATATTTGTAAGAATGGTAGAGAGATATTACAGGAGAGAAGAGCAATTCAGAAACGACATGCAGCTTCCAGGCAGCTCTTTTCCTGCAATGGAATGATTAAATGTCCTAATCCCTCACTAGAAGTTTTTAAGCAGGCAGCAACTCTTTGTGTTTTTATTTCCTCATCAGTCTTCGGTTATACACCTACACGGCTATCAGCCAAACTCTAGAAGGGAGATAGCCAGATGACAACCGATTTCATAAGACAGGTTATTTGATATAATGCCTCATTGGAAGGTATCTAACTCTAAACCTCCCTCAGGTGCCTGGTTCATTAGCTGTCAGATGGAACTGCTGTAAGCATTATGTCATGACAGCAACCAAAGTAAAAGCACAGAGAAGACAAGTTTAACTTCAGCTTCACAAAAATGTAAATGCAGCTTCTATTTTTGCAATGTCAAAGGAAGGCATAAAGTGAGTTAATATATCTCATGTTGCTACCAGTCCCCCCAGAGAGAGAGACAAGAATAGCCCGCAATCTGCACGGGGTGCCGTTCCCCGCAAGGCCACATCCCTACGTGGAACAAGGCAGGCAAGGGTGGGTTATGAAGGCATTTGTCGGGGACTCGCCAGCTTTCGGGTTTCAGTCTGGCTGGAGTTACTGCAGCAGTGGGGGTTCGTTAAGGAGTTCAGGAGTCACTGCAGGGGAGTGTAGTATTGTAATGGATAAGCAAAGACAGCACTTCCCTCCCTCTTGAGAGGACCAGCATAATGCCTGTGTAACATGTATAAGACATGTAAGGTTTTATTCTGG